CACATAACTGGGTGGTTTGTTTAGTTTACTAGGCAACAGACACCGCGATACAGTGCCGCGGCGTAGTGTTAGCAGACGCTCACTAGGTGGCGATGCTAACAGTCTCTGAGGGAACAACAACGTAGGTATAGATTGCAAAAACACTTATGACTCTTCTGTATTCTAATTTCCAACTTATCTTTATTTGACTTTGTGTAAGTACAAGCGAGTGGTCGATAGATGGCATATGAAATTGTTACTACTGCTTAGAGGTCGAAGTCATTCGCGACTGTTCAAGCCTTAATAGCCATCGCGAGCACGCGCGATATCGTACGAGACATCATGAATCGTGTTTCCGTTGCAGAGTTAATAGAGTCTGTGTAGGCAGCAATACGGTTCAATGTTACGTCAACAAATATTTCAAATCTCGTCTCGCCCATCTTCGTCAATCCCGACCATTTCCACCGAAGATGCGCTAGGAGAAAATTGATATTTTGCCATACAAGTTTTAGAAATCGTCTCGCCTCGTTTCTTCTCGCCTCGCCGGTGGAAATACACCCTTACCCTTCAAAACCGGAACTCAGTAAAGCTCACATTACTGCTTGGAGGCAGAAGTAGGTCACGTCGCAGTACTTCCCAGGACAATCTTTCACAAGGAGCTCCACTGCTACTAAACTACTCCTTTTTAAGCCGCATCATTCTGATATATTCTACTAATTATACCTACTTTTCTCCCGCTACTTTTGTGCCACCCCTTAACCTTTTCATGTACCATTTGTTACCCACTTCGAAAGCGTGGGTGCAATGATATAAGTTGGAACTGTTTCCGTTAGTTAGATGTATATATATAGCTATTTGAGTTTGCTTGCGTATTTTCTGACACAGATGTCTTGGCAAAAAGATAGATAGGAAATAGCAAAGTGTTCTAAGTATTGGGTGTAACAAAATAATGCTGTGACGATGCGACCTCCTTCCATCGTCATTCCGCCTTTTCATCACCTTTTCTCTGGTTCCTGGCCACATGTTTTCAAATTTTGAATCGTTATTTGATTCCGTTGCCCGTCATTTTCGCTTTATTTTACTGATCAATCGCTGTAGCGAGCAGTGCTGCTGTAATTTTTAACTGCGTCTAATTTTGATCCGTTTACCTGTTCCCAACCTAAATCATGTGTCAATTATAATACCAATCTAATCAAGTAATATTGTATAACTCGGCCCATTCGGGGTAAATCTGTCTCACGTTTCTGTGTCACGTATTTTGTGGCGTTGTACCTGTTTTTTATATCGTTTTTCATGTTACAGCCTTCCTTTATTCTTTCGATTTTACTTATGAAATAAATTATGTGGACTGGACTAGTCTATTTTGTTGCCGTGTTTCCGGCACATTAGCGGTTAACAATCTCTTCAATGCTTTGACCAGAACAAAAATTCGTCTTCATATCGCATCGATAGCATACACTATAATGCTTGCCATCGCGATGAAAGGGTTTCCCAATTGGCGTAAGGCACTCGTCGATTATTGCTTAGTGTGTGCTATGCGTACAGGAAAAGAATGGTACTCGTTCGGGGAGGCACCTTTCGTGAACCAGGACATTGATACTGTATAAAGGTTACGAGTCAGTGCAAAATCCGATTATATTAACTGCTTCGGTGGCCGAACGGTTACCATACTGGATTGCCACGCAGATTCCCGGGTTCGATTCTGGGCCGGGAGAAATAATTGTATGGCCTACATTTATTTCTCTCGTGAGTTCGGGTGTAATTTGTGGTGTTCTATGTGTATGTCCATGGCACCCACGACACAGGGTTTTCATAGTGCGATACAGTAGAAGTGGTTAGTTAGCATCTCACGCGTGCCAACAGTTGGCCTTGTTAGGCCTACTTGAGCTCAGTCTGCCATTTTCGCTTTTTAAGGTAGGGTTTTGTAAATTCTTTCGTGCAAATTTTCTAAACTCGTGGAAAAATGCCTTAAAACTATTACGCGTGGTGGTATGTCATATCATCGTTAAGTCTTATTTGAATAAATTTTCAATTTTCTGTTTATCGAATTGATTTTTTGTACTGTAACAAACGAAAGTAAATATTATCCCAGAGCAATATGGTCGAGTTTTATCTTTTGGAGAACTACGTAAATATGTCGAATTTTCCACGCTAGTAGCGAACAGAAGTTTAGCGAAAAGATGCTTCATGAGTGTTTTATTAATTTAAAAAATAATTGATCTAAATAAAGTTCATTATGCAATATGTGCGTTAAAGAAGACTGTTATCGAGAAGATACTACTTTCTATTCGTTCATATGTTTAGTCGTTCGTCGTAGTTCAGCTACTGGTCGCAAGATGGCAGCACATTGAATAAAACTTCAATATAAAATGAAACTTTCAATTATATAGCGCCTCGGTAAAGTTTAAATTATATTAACAGTCCAGAATTTGTCATATCTTTTTAAATTAGAAATTACGACCAATCATTATCAAGATTTTATAGAGTTTATCATTTGTTTGCATCGAGTATATAACCGGAAATAGAGACGAAATGTCATTTAATTTGTTTGAAAACTATTCTGCCATATTATTACTGTGACAACTGCGCTCCGATTGGCTAGCCCGAGTTCGAAACAATTGACGGGTATCGTCAATGGATGTCGTCAACTGTTTCACTTCAAATCGACCAGTTAACTTGAGCTTTGCTATAATGGACGTAAATTGCAAAATTACATTTTTAATATTTAATTACCGATGAAATTTTATTCCGTTTGTTTTGTAATTAGATGTTTTGCTGTTTTTCCCACACCACCGAATAGAACAGCACGGCATTGTTAGAGATATTATCTTTATTACAATAAATACAGAATATTTTTTGGAATATACGGTGACGTACACACAGGTCAGTAGTTGGCCTGTCTATATTTTAGTGCAAACGAGAGTTGATATAAGATATAGTTGATTATAAGAGCTGTATCGCTAATGTGTTACCAGGAATATATGGCCCTTATTTCGTCTCTATTTCTGGTTATATACTCGATGTTTGTTTGTATGCGTTTTGGTGACCCTTGAACAGTAGATAAATATTTTCGCACATGTGAAAAAAAAAATACGTTGGCCGTTTAGACCAGGGGTGGGCAAACTTTTTTCTTAAAGGGCGAGAAAAACAAGAAATGTTACAGGAAGCCAGAATTAAATAAATGCATTTTCTCTTGGAAATATTTGTCAAATCGAGTTCTTAGGTTTTCGCTATTGTTACACATAGAAAAATGAAACTTTCAACCGTGACCATGTGACCTGTAAAGGGCCCGAAACGTTGGTTTGTTTGAAAAAACAAATATACGCGATTTAAATCCGGAAAAAGTTTCATGTCCTATGATTGTCAAAATTTATTTCTGGGGGCCATTAGTATTTTATGTATCAGGGTAACGGGTGCAGTGACAGTGCCTATCAGATCTTTGCGGTTTAAAGCTCTGACGTTTACGCACCAGGCACACGACTTGCTCCTCCAGTCACTTGGTGTTATAAAAAAAAAGTATTGACAGGATGGAAACCTTCATGTGCCGGAGATGGCCCGCGGGCCGTCCTTTGCCCGACACTAGTTTAGCCCAATGCGGACTAACAATAGGATGTTTGATATAGTTGGATGATGGATGTTGCGAGAGGAATTGTCACTAAACATCCACAATAAACGTGGCTCTGTATCGCTAATTCAAACCATTCGACCTCTATATTGCATTTTTTGCTTTTGTTGATTAGATGTGAACTAAGCAAGCGTAAATACCGTAAAAGATTGGTAGCTGTGGTAGAAAGTAATATAGGCCTTTTACTTGTTACGCACATACCAGTATAAGATCTTGCATTGTATGTTTTGTTTGTCCACCCCGTCTTGTTGTGTGGTTAGCCGCTCACGCGATGCGCTCCTCCTACCGCAAAATGGCGGCTATTTGGTTTCGCAAATTAGAAAAGGATTCAGTTTAAATACAAGTTTTTATAAATAAAAATTATTATTCTGCATTGCTAAATAAATACCCTCCGTACTACCAACAAAAACATCTCAAATAAAATGCAGCAATACACCGCAAATCCTGCACTTAAAAAGCACTAATGAATTTTTTTGTGTACTTGGATAAATATGATAATATTCCGTTTCAGTGGTTCTAACGTTTACCATGAAATTACTCCTTAAAGTACTGTTTATAAACATTTATATTCAGGTTAAACTTAAAAAACGCTACTTACGGTGTTTTCAATAAATAAACACCGAAATCACCAGCCCAAACAATAACACACACGATTGTCGTGACGTATTTTTGAAATTGTTTATTTTTTTTAAATGACAGACCCAGGCATTAAAAACTTTATGGTTTGCTAGAGTAGTTACCGATATAGCAATTAATATTAGTTTTTTTACCTGTTATAACTTCGATATCCGATAAATCGGTATAAAATCATCACCGGCACTTCTAGGTGTGGTATGCGTCTACGGCTGCATGTATCGCGTGAGCGGCAACGTTTGATTGTTCGATGCTATAATAAATAATCATGTCCCGGACAAGCATACCAATTACCTGATCTCAAAATGATACCACCACCTTACCAATAGAGCACCTTGTGAAAGAGTTCGTCGATCCAGGGTAGTACTGCCACTTTACCAATTTGCCGCCAAGCAGGTTTTTAAGGGTAAAAGTGCTAGTGAAATTACAGGCTTGTGGGACCCCTCAAGATCTTTATGATTTAAAGCTCTGTATCGTGGAGTTGCAATTGTTATGGACAGGCGTGTCGTTTACTACCAGGCGCTCGACTTGTTCATCCCGTCACTTGATATCATAAAAAAATATACGTTGGGCGTTTAACAATTTTTCCCATTCTAGTTTGTTGGCTCTTAGAAGGATACGGTGGAGTGACGCGATGCAGGTGCCAATGTGACCTACCAATCCGTGATATCGCCGATGACGCTATCGGTGGCATCACGTGATTGGCAACATCTGTGATTGGGCCAGTATAATTCGCATTTTGAACCATTTACGTGTGTTTCAGGTCCGTCGAACAGCATTAAAGAAGTTGTTGTTAAGGGACTTCTTGCAAGAAGATTGTGAGCTAAGGAACATCGGTCTTGCATACGCACACATTGATCCTTAGAGCCATTATTTGTTTGTTGTTTCCGGTACCTTGAATAAAACATTGATGCTATTGTGTATAATTGATTATTATAATGATATGTAATTATTATTGATTATTTATGTATTCGTGTGTGCATACAATATAAATAATTTGATTATTATTCTGTATGTCCCTGAAACAGCATTGCATTTTATAGGCTCTTATAATATAATTACAAAATTTGAGGTATACATATAGATAACACGTTGGTCTGGCAAACGGGCAAAATACGCAAATCACATTTACTTATAATCTCAGTACAAAGTACTAAAAAAACTGACTTCAAAAGTCATTCACCCGACAGGTTGCCACCGTTAGAGTCATAGTCATTTATTGTTAATAAAAAAGTTACAATTCACAAAAATTTTACAATAACGAATAATTAAATTGATTTAAATACAAGAAATAATTAATACTAATAATAAAAATAAAGTATACAAAAACAACAATAAAAAATAAAAATACAAATAATAAACCCTTAGTTCGCCACGTACGGGACTTGACACAGGAGATAATAAAAATTGGTTCTTACTACTCAAAGTATATTGAGAGAGAAAAACACCTCGAATTGGAGAATAGCAAAATCAACCATTAAAATAATTGCTTCTTATCATTGACTTACAAATAAATGGACGACGGGTCTAATACAAAAACCACAAAAAAAATGTCCCAAGTCAACCTATTCGAAATTTAAATTGTAATGTCATCGCAGTATCGCGCTGTCAGTAGAACAAATGAAGACTAAAGCGGAGTGTCGCGCTCTGTATACGATTTTAGCGCCTTACAAGTGCGGACACTTTTTAGCGCGGACCCGACGTCCATATAATTGTAAGTCAATGCTTCTTATAATAAAATTTAGGCGCTGTTTATAAAAATGAATCTTCATGCGCGAACAGCCACCCTTAGAGGTGGATGATTTTCTTCAAAATTAAATGGGACCACTATGGAGGTACCCTCTTACAAAAAAAAAGAATTCTGAAAATCGGTCCACAAATACCGGAGTTACCGCGTAACGTACATAAAAAAACATACAGTCGAATTGAGAACCTCCTCCTTTTTTTGAAGTCGGTTAAAAATAACGTGGTGCTATGAGTGTGCGCGTTGAAAAATAATTATAGGTACCTACATAAGTTTTTCACGTTCTAATAGCATCCTAAAAATGTTTGCTGCTAAGCTCTAAGCAAAAAAAATCATGGTGTAATAAATATTGAAAATATGTATTCTTTTTTTATTCCTAAGTAAAGTTTAAATTATTAATTTTGGTCACAACATGAGTACTTAGCCAAGTATGCAGCCAAAAAGAATCTGAACAACTTTTAAATTTTTCTAAAGCACAAATGCGATCGTGTTTAGAGTAACTGCCGCTTTTAAGACGGCTCTGTCGGATGCCAGTTCGCTCCACCG